AGGCAGGGTCAGGGGAAAGAGAACCAGGCAGGTTGCAGGGGGAGCCTACCAGTAGGCAGGTTTCTTTTTTTTTTTTTTTTTTTTCTGAGCGTAGGTAGTAGTACTACTATTCCCAGTAAGCAATAAAGAAACCAACCCCTCATTTGTCAACTGATCAATCTTTGGGTGCCCATTCCTAACCATTGAAACTTGTAAAGCTTAGGAGCAGCTATCCTGGTTGAAACTCTCGTTCTCTCTTGCTGCTGTGATGAACAGACTGCTCTCAACATTCATCTCCTTTAGCGGAAGTTTAGCCCCATTTTTTTTCCTTTCACGACCCCAGCTGCACTTCGCTGGACATTCCAACTGCAAATAATTATTGCTGCCAGCATATAACAACAGCCCAGTCAAAAAACAAAAAACAAATCTCCTTCTGACCGCTCAGACCAGACGCCAAAGCTCACCCCACCAGATAGATGGTCAGCGGACCCTTGTCATTTTCTAATTTTGTTTTTACTTTTTTTGTCATCATATCCACAAGGCCTCTTCAATGGATCCCACAATCTCATGGTTGCAGACACAGAGAGAAAAAAAGAGTCGAGGGACATTTAGAGAGGAATACTATCTTCCGTACTCATTCATGAAATCTTGCATTCACATTACCAATTACCAGCCTGCAGTCCCATAGTGTTTGCAAAGCACACTGCCTTGTGCAGAACTCGCTCAACTGCCCTTCGTGATGCCATGCACTCAGCTATTTTACTGAGATTGACCTTTCTTTCTCACACATGCCCCACCATGACCACCTCTGCTCCTCCATTATGCCCTCTGCTACCGTCTCATTGAATTGAACCTCTCAGGTTTGGAAATTGTGGCCTGTTTACTAACAGTTCCATGTGTGTACAATGCAGACGCGACAGAGATACGTACTTCTTGCTGCCTGATAATTCTGTGGCTTTACAGAGCTTACAATTGAAACAGTCAAATACTACCCTGCTAATGTGCTGCTGAATGTCATTGTTTGGGCGCTGTCCACTCTTTACAAATGATGGGCCCGGCGCAGGACCAGGCTTCCTAACTGCTGACCCTCTAGCATCTAAGAACACCTCGCACCTCGATCAGGGAATGCCAGTGCAGACAGGGAAAGAAAAAGCATGGCCCAGAGTTTGGATCAGGCCGTCCTCTCAGTGCTCGGGCACTTAGGATATGGTCCAGGTGGAAGAGCCCACACTGAGCTAAGCTAATCCAGTCAGAAGGAAAGGGAGGAGGAGTGGTCTCACGGTCAGAGTGGCCTCCAGTTCAGATTGATCACAGTGCATTTGCTTCGCGTATGTTTTGTCCATAGGTAGGTTTTGTACAAGTCACAGGCCGGCCGCTTCGCAGATGCTAGATCTCAGGACATTCCTCTTCAAGCGTTACAGCAACTGCAGAAGGTCACTCAAATTGTGGCAAATTGGGAACTAGAGAGCAAATGTATCTTCCTCGTCTGCTATACAACGAGGTGCCATTTCCAATGGCAATAAAAGGCAATTGGCACAAAATGGGTGGATGTGAAGATCCTTTACCTGACGCAGCTTCTCTATGCCAGTAGCTGCAATGAAGTCCGGAAGCTGGAATGGAGCCTTCTCAATACCTCGCTTTCCCTGCACAGTTCAAGGAGATTGAGTCAACGCTGCACTCGTTATTGTTCTCTCTCTCAATGGTTGAAAAGCCTCAAACACCATCTGAACTCACCATCAAAGAAAACAGTGCATGCACACAAACGCACAACAACTTTTGCTTCCTAACATGGAAACCAAGCCTGTCGAAATGAGCGCCACAAACACAAGCAACCAACCACCAGCCCCAACCCCAACCAACGGACCTAACCCAGTGACATCATGTCAGGAAACTTGGCCACCTCTGCCGATACAGCAGACCCGTTGCATAAAAAGCCACCCTCCATGACCAAACGGCGTTGCTAACCATTTCCTGTGGCTGCTGAAAAGCGTCCAAGAAGACCGATGCTGCTGTACAAAGCAGTTTCAATGTTTCCGCAAGAAAGATATGTCAATTTTTGTGCCAGGAATGAATCAGGCCCTGGCACAACCATTGTACAGTTGAAGGAGGTGGACCCCACATTGGAGAAGAATAAAGAAAAAGTGGGCACCCCCATACTGGTTAGCATAATGGTTGACACAGGGCACATGTATACAAGCATAATGGTATGTTTTCTGTATCATGGGCTCATTCCTCTTCCATGTGTGACTCGTACAGATGCTCCTGTTCCGTTCAGACCTAAGGTACCCCCCGCCCTTTTTACTTTCGGCAACCTGAGCTGTCCAAAATCGACCAGTCCCTGCTGACGGTCCTATTGGAAGCAATACCATCCATAAACAACATAGTTCACTTGAATTTGTGCCGCATCGCTAAGAATCCACCACGTAAGAATCTGTGCCGCATCGCTAAGAATCCACCACGTAAGAATGTGTGCCGCATCGCTAAAAACATTTTCGACCATGTAAGAATGTGTGCAGCACCGCTAAGAATCCACCACGTGCCAGCCACTGGGAACTCACTCAGCTTACAAGTCCTGGTGGGTTTTCCGCCAGCAACACAACCACTACCATCACCTCCACCTGTATGAGAGCCACTCCCAGCTCTTACAGACGAGAACTATGGAAAAGAGACATGGAAGATGCAAGGCTCTCTGTTCACTTCATTCAGACAATCTAGACACGAAGATGCAATGGATTCTGCAGAGAACACCTGATTCACATAGACATTCCCCACTCCCGTCAACCAAGGCAGGGCTTCGGAAGCTGATAGACCACTTCCGGAGGTCGGAGTTGACAGAACTGTAGATCTCTCTGGCAAGATATCACTGGAGCGTGCCTAATTAGGTTTAATCAAAGGGACATGAGCCAGGGCACGCCTCATTCGCCTAAGCATTCCCCACTCTCGTCAACAAAGGCAGGGGCGCTGATTGACCACTGCTCGAGTCCGGATTCCAACTAAGTGCAAATCTCTTTGGGAAGATATAAGCGGAAATTGCATAAATAGGGTCAAATCACAGGGACATAAGTGAGGGCAGGGGAAACACCATTTCATACTACAAGCCCTCACGGAAACTACATTATATATTTGATCAGGAGAATTGGAATGCACAGTCTGTCAGAAGATCGGTCGGGGGGNGGGGGGGGGAAGGGGGAGGGAACATATTAGCATCAGCAAGAATACATGGACAACAGGTGGGTTTAGACCACACCCAAAAGCCCATGGTTCACAGCCTCCAGAAGGGAGAGGACCCTTGCAAGGCAGTCAACAAGCAAAAGCTAAACCTAAAAGAGCAGAGTCTGACGATAACCAACCTCTACAAAGGCGACCAAGCACAGACCAAAACAGGTGGCTAGATGAAAGTGGAGGCAACGACAGTAAGGACAGGCCGGCAGAGAGAGGTCCGCCCATTGTGTCTATGTTTAACTTGCTTAATATAAACTTTATAAAGTAGGCACAAGAACGTTGTTTTCTCCCAGACTGGAAGTTGGACTGCTGTAAGGATATGTTTATAAAGTAGGCACAAGAACGCTGTTTTCTCCCAGACTGGAAGGTGCACTGCTGTAAGGGTATGTTTCTTTAACAGGGAAAAAAAAAAGACCAATGAAGATCAAGAAGATAACGAGGTTGCTGGAGCAGAGAATGTCACCCCGTCAGGAAAAGGGATCATTGCAATTGACGAGAACCAGTGCATGAACTCTGCCCATTGCAGGAACTTCTATCAGGAGGCCCACTCCTCCCTTTCAGAAGTGAGGCAACATTTGGAGTCAGGCCTCCAGGTGAGCGGGCAGCCCCTCAAGTTTCTCGAGCAGCAACGCTACAGGAGACCCTCCTTATTTTAAGAAGCAACTCAGAGACCCTCTCCTCGTTTTAAGGAGCAACTCAGAGACCCTCTCCTCCTCTTACGGAGCTAGGAGAGTATCAGCCAGGCCTTTTGGTAGGCAGGACATGGGCCTGCCTGAGCAGGTCACCAACAGGGAAAACTATCGGAAGGCCACTCATGCTTCTGAGGTCAGGCATGTATACATTATATTATATTTCCGTCCTTTTCTTTCCCTTTTTTTTTTTTTTTCAAGCTACATTCTTCTCTCAATTTCACCTATCACTATCTACCTACCACTACAACTCAGCCCATACAGGGGACCCCTGCAAGCAAAGCCACCTCTTACAATTAAGGGGATGCATGTTGCCCCCCGCCCTAATCGGCAGTGGTCAGGGGGTAGGGTGGGGCTGTCCTAAATTATCTAATCATCTAAAATAACAGCCCAAATTCTCAACCAAGTTGAACCAACACTACTCATACTGACAGCTCCAAAAATTCAATCATTGTCAATTTCAAATTCCCCTAGCTATCGTATATCCGTCTTTGTAATCCAAAGAACCATTTTTTTCCCGGAATTGACCCCTTTGACAAGGCAGGCAGACACTTAAGCTCCAAGGGGGCCACCCATATCTCCAGATCCAATCCGATGTTTCTCTTTTTTTTTGGCGTGGACTCTAATCCAATCTCGAATTGAAAGGAGAGTTTTACAACCACTTCACACGAGACTACCCAGGCGGTAGTGGATACCGAGGCTCAGGGGAGGCACTAAATGGCATCCAGCAAAACGGAAACGAGAAAGAACAAGGGAAAAATACATAACAACAAGATGTTAGAGTCAGATAGAGCATCTGTTCCATATTTGTGGTTGAGCAGCTTGCCCGTCAGGCACAGCCTAAAAGTCCTCTCGTTTCTAGAGCAAGAAGTGCTTTGGAAGAAGAAATTTTACAGTTCTTGAACAGTCAACCGCTGAATTGAGACAGAAAGGACAGTCCAAGAGACACAGAGATGAAGCATATCAAGGCAACAAACAGGAGATAAACATCACCGAAATACGGAAAGCAATTCAAAACATTAGTCAAATGTAGTCCACCATGGTAGCCGTCACCGACCATATCCAGATTATATGGTGCACAATGCACAGAAGAGGCACACAACCACACAGGGAGAAGAGGACACAGATTAAAATGCAACAAACAGCAGGAAATCATCCGCAAAATACAAAAAGTGTGCGTCATACGTAGTCCCACCACAGCAGTCATGACAAAGCAAACCCACAGAGGAGGTAAAGCGGAAAAAGTGATAAAAAGGAGGGATCGAGCAGCGGGTAGCAAGCTCAAGGTCAAAAATGAAATAGCACCCAAACACACAACCACCCACACCACAGAGATTACAGGAAAAGTACAGGCTTGAACCATACGGCACTCCTAAGCCACGGAATGCTACAGAAGGAAGATCAGGCACACAACAAATCATTTGGTTGCGCAGTGGTGATCGGGCAAGGCACCAATACGAAGGAAGCAACTAAAAATAGGTTGCCTGTCATCCAGTTTCACAAACAGTAACAGACACGAATGGCGCTAAGTTGCGACAAACAAATACCAAACAGGCAAAAAGGAACACAAATCGAGACTGTAAGAAACCATTGCAACCTACCCTACATGACATCAGGGAAACGCCCTGGGAAGCTGGGAGTAATACGCAGATGCCGTAGAGAGAGAGAGAGAGAGAGAGAGAGAGAGAGGGGGGGGGCGGGGGGCACAGGGCGCAGGGGGGCGGGGGGCAGGGCGTGGGGGAAGAGAGAAAAGCGGAAACGGTAGGAAAGCTAAGGAATCCAGCATTAGAGAAGTTCAGCAAAAGCGCCAAGTACAGAAGACATCTAGGAGAAATTACTCCCCAAAGGTTGGAAACAGAGACATGACGGAAGACAAGTTGTGCACAAGAGTGGTTCTCAGGGTCTCACAGGACATAAGGCAAGAGGAGGCGCAAGAAGCGAAGTACTCCAAATCACACAGTTCGCCAACGTTGCTGCGGAAGTAACTTAAATACTGGGGAAGCAGTTGCTGAAACGTTAAACAAAAAAAAAGAGAAAAAACACTACCAGTTGCCCCTTCCCGATCACAGACGAAACAGATCACAAACGTAATGAACTAACAGGAGTTGCATCACAAAATAAAGGGAGAAAATAAGGAACGCAAAAAGGGAGACTGAAAACTTGTGAAAATGCTCAACAACATGACGATGACATTGCACCTCAGGGAAGTGAGCGATGTCAAAGCATAAGGTAGTTTTGAGTATGCAGCTCGCAACAACATGACAATGACATTGCCCTTCACCCACTTCGCCACTCAACGTCGACTGACCACTCTTTCAGATCCTAATTCCAAATTCACAACTTTCTAAACAAGGGAAACTCAATGTCCCTGATCGCACAAATCTTGAGAGAGATAGGCCAGTTGTGTGCTGACATTTGCAGGCATCAACACGACCGCAGTATATTCAGGACCACGACTACAAACAAACAGCACATGTAAAACCAGGTCCAACACTTTTAGGGGCGCCAGAGCTCTGCCCAGCTCGGTGGGATTCCTCGATCACTGACTAGCCCTGTCAGAAGGTACCTGACCAACGGCACTATGTACGTACACATCCGTGGTCGTCAGACCCTCACAGATACATTTTGACAGGGCCAGACTGGCATCTCCAAAACTCAATTGGCTGGCTTTGCACGCACCTCAATTGTAATGCCACTAACTACTATATCAACGAGGGAATTGCAGACCTTTTCATATAAGAGGTTCAAGGCTGCTGAGGCCGAGTCTCTCTCTCTCTCTCTCTCTCTCTCTCTCTCTCTCTCTCTCTCTCTCTCTCTCTCTCTCTCTCTCTCTCTCTCTCTCTCTCTCTCTCTCTCTCACACACACACACACACACACACACACACACACACACACTCTGCTTCACCTTTGGCAGCTTTTTATTCTTTCATTCGATCAAAGTTCAACAGAACACAGACTATAACAATTTTCCACACACCCGCATACGCTACCAAGCAGCATTTTCCTTCTTTAGATTGATTCAAGCACAAGAGAAACCAGACCATCTTAATTTCCCCGTCCTCAGTGAACTACAACCCGTTTGAATGCACACGGAATAACGGCATAGGAGACCCATCGGTGGTTGTCATATGAACCATCATATTATTCCTCACGGATCATCTTCCATCCAGGCTATTTTGGGTTCCATTATGTGATTCAAAGTGCTAGAATGCAAAATCCAAGACGATTGGCGTTGGAGAAAAGAGAAACACTCGTTAACACAAGCAATGCAGTCATCCACGACACAACAGATGAGGAGGAAGACAGGGTAGGCTGAGATTGATATAGAGGAATCGACGTGTGCTCCATGCACGCACGTACGCCAGCCGGTCACATACCAACAAGCCGCGTCCAGCAACTCAAGGAGAGAAGGCCCTGCAACCACCACGGGCAGCAAATAAGACGAGGCACCTCCCTTTTACAGACGCAACTTGTGTGAAGTTAGGTACCTTTCAGGTTCGTGATGCATGGACAGAGCACATCTGATGGTGGTGTCCTACCAAACAAAACATCTTCATCATAAAATGGGTTAGAAATTAGAAGCACACATTGCATTGCTTGCAAATCATAGCACTGTGTTCTTACTTCAACCTTATGCCCAAGCACTTCATACTTACCCATGAAACCCATCCCTCCTCCTCTGTTAATCACAGACAAAATGCAGGTTGCCACATCTTCCGTGAGCCTGGAAACAGGGCGCTCCTTCGTGTGCCGCAACTGAGAACCGAGGTAGCTGCTCTCTCTCTCTCTCTCTCTCTCTCTCTCTCTCTCTCTCTCTCTCTCTCTCTCTCTCTCTCTCTCTCTCTCTCTCTCTGTGCCTGGACATGAATGTCCATCTGCGTAGGTGTCGAACTAAGATATCACACGAGGCACCATCTATGGCACAAAAATGTACCAGTGGGTACCTCTCTCTCTCTCTCTCTCTCTCTCTCTCTCTCTCTCTCTCTCTCTCTCTCTCTCTGTGTGTGTGTGTGTGTGTGTGTGTGTGTGTGTGCCTGGACATGAATGTCCATCTGCATAGGTATCGAACTAAGATATCACATGCAGCACCCTCTATGGCACAAAAACGTATCAGTGGGAAGACACCTCAGCAGCAGCCAAGTCCATCTCTCTCTCTCTCTCTCTCTCTCCCCCTCCCCCCCCACATGGTTCCTCTGAGAATGTACCTGTTCTAGCATCTGGTGAGCACAACAGAGAGTGGGTGTGCACTTTCCCAGAACCTCTACGTTTTGCAAGGCTTATGTAATCAGTTACGTGTCTGTGTCCAGAATCTGTGACTGCGCGTATATGTGTGCATGTGCACGGCAATAGTATCTGAAGCGAAGAATAGGTGGCTCTACAGCATAGCGTTGCTCATTTCTGCCGAGCGATGTCCAGCGATCTTTTCTCCCAGAAAAAAAAGCAGAATTGGCAGAACGTTAAGTCTGCAAGGCCCTGATTAACTAGATGGGTGATCCACTACATTCTAATGCTATCTGATGTACCTGAATGTGTGGAACTGCTGCCAGAGGTTGTTTTAGTCATTGAACTGGGGGTAATCCAAGCTGTTACGGCAGTCACATTGTGAAAGAGTTTACAGCTATCTGATGCTCTCGAGCACACATGAAACACCAGCAGTGCTGCTGCAACTGCAGCGCCGAAGCGATTTACCTGGATTTTCAGAGACAATACTTATGACACTCCTTCCTCTCACTCATTTTCATATGGTCCCCTGTTTTAGCCTGATGTGCCCTGAATGCTCTCCCTGTTCTTACCTTCCTCTCCCTTTTCTTTCCCCAACAAAAAACTAACATCATTTGTCCTGTGGGTTACTCCGTCTTAATGCAACCAACCTGCAAGAACTTCCGCTTCTGGCACCAATGGCGCGGAACAGGGACAGTATTTCGGTAAGCCTTGAGATATACAAGCAATCGAGGATCCGCTGCTGTGGTGTCCCAAACCTGTGAAAGGCCACACAACAGATCAACCATCAACACCTTAACGACCACCAAACTCCTTCAAACATGCCATGGAAACCCTAGAGAGAAACTCGACAGGGAATTCGATGAGGGAAACTGATGCGCAAAAAGCAACCACATCATCACAAGGCGCCACACGCCAGAAGACTGGAATGTCAAGATATGCTTGCTGAATGAAGGGGGATGTGAAACACGTTTCAGACAAGATAACCGCACCATTATGACAGAGGACATGCTCAGAATTGTCTCGGCGGCTGCGCAAATAAAGCCTCCTGCAAGACGTGTATGCAATGAGGTGTAGCACATGCACGTGCAAAAGACCAGGCATGACAAGCCAGTGATGCATGAGAGACTTGCTTCCATCCATACTATGGGAAGAGCAGGTGTTGAATTCAAGGCAGAGGACCCATGCAAGGTTGAAAACATTTGCCAAATGATGGAAGCATGATAACACAGACAGCCCTTTCAAGAGCAGGTGTTGAATACAAGGCAAAAAAAGGGAGGAAATATAAAATGGGAAAGGGTTCGACTATTAGAGGTTGGGCGCAGGCGAAGGGTTTAGGGTGTAGGGTTTATCACAGATCTTTCAAAGGGGTAGGGAGATGCGGGGGGAAGATACATGCCGTCAAGTTTATCGGATGAGCTCTTTCTGGAGACAATGGTACTATCTGGCAGACCCTGACCCTAGGTCTGASAGGAAAGAGGGGGATAGGGCAAGCTGACAGTCAATCCTCCACCACGGTGGAGCAATCAATGCTGTTCAGGGATCCTTCGGCCTGACGGAAGGAAGCGTATGTGAGTTTTCTTGATGTAATACTTACTTTGACTTGCCGGTGGAATAGGAACCCGACTGACACTCCCCAGAATGGAAGGAGCCAGGACCATAAGGCCCTGTTTCTTTATTAAAAAAAATAATAATAATAAAATTTAAAAAAAAAAAAAATCCTGCTGCTGCTGCTGCTGCTGCTGCTTCTCAGTCAGCACTGCCTCCTTGCTCAATCATTGTTTCTTTGTCAAGCCATCCAACCACATACCCTGTCTCAATGGCAATGCGACCAAAACGAACTGATTTTTTTCCAAGCTAAAGACTTTTTAAGTGTCACATTGGAGCACCCACTTGTTCAACTGCCCATGTCAATTACCAAGAGTAGACTGACCCCACAATATGCTGTACAGGGAGAAAAACATCCATGTCCCCCAGAAAGATTGCAGTGACCTCAGTACTGACAAACGAATGCACCTGACCGTATCAACAGCCAAAGACATTCAGTCATAACCAGCTGGTTCAGAGCCATACCCATCTCCTTGGGAGGCACTAACGTCATGGCAACCCCAAGGTCAGTCAGGAGTGGGAAGACCACCACCTCCAGGCCTGCCCTGCTCAGCCTGCAAGACTCTTGAGAGGTCGGTTTCTACCTGTCAGTGGCAGGTCGAAAGGCAAAATTGCACCTGCCCAAACCTCCCCATCAGTCCTGAAGAGACCACCACCTCCAGGCCTGACGCTCATCCTGCAAAACTTTTGGGAGGTCTGTTTTTGCCTGTTCATGGCTGATCGGCAGGCGAAATTGCACCTACCCAAACCTCCCCATCAGGCTTGAACCGGGCCTCTACAGAGCCCCCAGTCACTAGCTGACAATACCACGGAGCCGCAAGAGGCAGTTGATACCGTCAGGTGCATTCACAATCTAACCCTAAGTGATTCTGTAAAACAATTTTTCAAACTCACCAGCTTGATCTTCCTAGACTCTGCATGTCATCATTGCTCAGGATAATCCTCATATTTCTGCGTTTTTCCATTGTTTATATGTGCTTAAGCGCAGTCGTCACTGTCACATGATAAGGCTCAACGCCTCCAGCCACGCCATGATGCAAACAGAGACAGAAAAGCCACCAGAGCACATACCTCCACCACATCTGGCCGGGACACCAACTGCTTGAGCTCTGCAACCTTCATTCGACGAGCCAACTGCAACACAGACAGTGATCAAGACAAAACATTTATCGACAGTCAGTAGACAGAACCCTTCCCGACTGGCAGAATGCACATGCTGAAGTCAGCCTGACTGTGCTATTTCCAGAACAACTAACAAAGCCCCGTACAAAAGTTCATGTTCCTGTTTCTGTTACAGCACAAGAAAGCGTACAGACTCTGCACGCAGCAGCTCCAAGATGTGGGGACACCTAAGGATCCCAAGTTCGCAATTGGTTGGAATTCGGGATCGCCGGAAAGTGCAAACACCGGGGGCAACGGCCGGACCATAGTAGTGATTGATGCCAGACATCACAAAGGGTCCTATGGAGAACACAGATTTTATTGATCACTCACATAGCATCCATCCAGGTTGCAGTTGGCAAGCCTCTGCTGGCTTACTTACAGTCGCTAACAAAGGACCTCGGTGAGAGCTGTATGCGAGGAGACCTGCTGAGGCAACATCCCCCAGCGCAATTGCATGATAAAAACAGAGACAATGTCGAGTGACGATTGCAATATTTATGTCCATCCAGCACATTGTGTTTTTAATACTTTTTATGCACCCAGCATATGGCGACGCCCTTAAAATTCTACACCTGAAAATCAGTCAGTGAAAATGCACTTGTACATGAAAAATGTGCAGACCGATTACAGTCTACATAGATGAACCTAATTCATAATTTCATACAGAATATACAGTAAATAATCAAGTCAGTAGTCCACAGAATAAACCAATAAATAACAACAATTCAAATCAAAAATACTGATGACTCAGACATAGCCATGCTTTAACATTTCATCACCTTAGCAGTGACAGCCTGCACACATCTCATCCCCTGTGGCATATGTAGATCCCACACGGGCCCAGCAGGACCTGTCAGGTAGGTAGGAAGGGGTAGGGACTTGGCTTCGGTCTGGCGCATTAAGTTTTGGCACCAGAAGTAGGGCCTCTGTCGGTTCAGGCCAGAAGAGGGCCGTTTCAGGCCCACATCTGGTTCAGCCGGGCCAGGCCCTCGTACCAGTATCGGTTCAGGCCCTGGCCTCCTCTTTTTTCCCAGGCCACTTGGACCATCACATTTGATCCAAGTGAACGGCCTGATTGATTTCCAGACCATTCATTCTGGGCCTCACGTTTAGGCCAGTAGGACCCAGGATAGGCCAGACCAGCAGTATTCATAGACTGGTCTGCCTCTCAGTAGGCAGGTTAGTGTGAGCTACTATTCAGCGTTATGCTGCGTTAGTCTTCAGCGCTGGGCGCAGTAGCGGTAGGCCAGAGGTGGTGAATGTGGAGGCTGCAATGGAGACTGCAGCGGGAGAGAGGCGGAGGCCAGACACTGAAACTTACCTGATGACTCACCCAGGGGCATCATAGCTCCAGCTTCGTCTTCAGCGCTCCAGCACAGGCATCAAGGCAACACCTTTGCTTGGTCAGTATCTGGTAACAGCAGAGACAGAGAGAGGACTCTTCTCCTTCTTCTTCTTCTCTCCTCCAGAACCCATCCATTATCCATTGCTCAGTATTCTACTTCCTTCTGGATACGCGAGAGAGAGAGAGAGAGAGAGAGAGCTGGGATCTGAGCTTGGTAACAGTCGGGCAATTGCCCTGTTCTGGTATTCGGGCAAAGACCCACCTTTGGACAATGTGCTGAGATTGGGACTTCGGGAAACTTCAGGATCAATGACATTGGCGACTTGGCCTTCTCGCCCCACTCTTCCCCTTCGTCTCCATATCCCTCCTACTTCGTCTGTGGATGGTCTGGGGACAGCGCCACTTCTGTGTATGACGCGCTGGCCCCCGTCTCACTGAGTGGTAAATGAATGAGTGAACATTATCCATTCCAATCTTGCTGCGTCGGAGTGTATGTTCCAGTCCTCCGCTGCGTTCAATTGTCTGTTGCTGGGGTTGGTTCCTTGGATCTGCGCTACACTTTGCTATGCCCCCAGTCCACGACAGAATGTCCTTCATACCTCTTCCAAAAGCTGGGAATCGAGTATCACTGCCTCCTAAAACACCGGTCCCTTTCCCAGCTATTTCGCTCCAACACAGGGTTTGACCCACTGCACAGTTAGGGACTCCGCCCACAAGAAGGAAAACGCAACTGAAGCCAGGCAAAAAAATAAGAACATTTCCCGCCCGCGCCGGTTCATTTCTTTCTTGGCACACAGCAGGAACTCAGGGTCGGGAGAATGAGGCTCAGAGGGACTGGTGGCTTAAAAGGCATTCTCATACTTACTTTCTCCTCCAGGGCATACCTAGCCATAACTAGATACAGTCACAATCGGAAGAAAGAGACTTCAGAGTGACTGGTGGTTTAAAGGGCAGTTTCTCAACTTACCTCTCCAGGGCATATCTGGCTATCACCACGGCCAGATTCCATAAAAAAAAACATCAAACACAGTCAAGGAGGAAGACGGCTGGGCAAGACCTGGGGCGTATCCCACTGGTTCTGTGTTTCTGCTAAAAGGACACAAAGATCTAGAGGCGACCCTACACTTAGTCTTACCACACAGCAAGAACATAGCAGCACTTGGGTCCAAGGTAAGACTAGCAGGGAGGCTCTCTCTCTCTCTCTCTCTCTCTCTCTCTCTCTCTCTCTCTCTCTCTCTCTCTCTCTCTC